TTCACCTTCCACTCACCATTTCGCTAATTAAACCTTAACGCTTTCCTGCACACACAGACCAAAACTACTTTGTGGTAAGACCAACGGCTAGATTTCACTGTTTTGATTCACATATGTTATTTCACATGGACTTGACTGGTTTGTAGAACTATTTTTTTTAACTGTTGGAAATACCATCTAAATCTTTAACGGACAGGCTCTCAATAAAGCAAGATAGTTCCAAAATAAGAAATTTCAAGTAAAATGTGTTTAATAGTGAAACTTTTTTGCATTAGGTTAAATTGTTGTTGTATGTCATCCAGTAGATTTTGACTCATCATGACCCAATGTGACAAAGTAAAACTGCCCCACAGCACTCCCTAGGCAGTACCAGTCTCAGGCACAAGAATGCTTGAAAGGTCGGTGCAGGACCCGGCAGGGCTTCATGTTGTAGTACACGGAGCCTTATGAGTTAGAGCCAATTCCATGGCACCTAACAACAACAAATTTTCACAGTAACAAATCCCCAAGACTTTCTCCCAGGGAGCTGCTCCTAGGTGGGTTAGAACTACAAACCCTTCAGTGAGCAAATGAGTACCTGACCTATTGTGCCACCTGGGCTCCTTATGGGGTTAAACACTATCAAAAGCTCTTCCTAATATTAATTTATTTCCAACTGTTACTCATAAGACTCACATGTGTAAAGACATTTGCAGAATTCCTTCATTCCTTTGGTACATGTCTGGCTTTTCACTGGCAACTAAACAGTTTTAAAACATGCCTAAATCTGTAAAGGTAATTATATTTAATAATTATCAATATAAACTTTTAAGAAACCTTTACAAACACTTGTTGCTCTTGTTGTTGTTAGGTTCCGTGGAGTTGGTTCTGACCCCATAGCAACCCTCAGTCCAACAGAAGGAAACACCGCCCGTACTGCACCATCCTCACAATCACTGCTACTCTTGAGTCCACTCTTGATGTCACGGTACCAACTCATGTTGTTGGGGTCTTCCTCCTTTTTGCTGTCCCTCCACTTTACTAAGCATACTGTCCTTCTCAAGGGACTGGTCTCTTCTATCAACATGTCAGAAGTATGAAAGTATGACCATTAATATTTAGAACTACCACAGATATATCCAACTTGGTACAGCTGACTGAACTCATGTGTTTCGGTGCCAGTGTTACTGATCAGGAACCCAAGTGAGAAAGAGGAGACCATCTGTCCTATAAAGACAGGCAGTCTCAGAATCTAAGGCACAGGCCTACTCTGTCCTTCAGGGCTGCCACGAGTTGGAATCGATTCGGTGGTACTTGTTTTAGTTTTGTGGGTTTAGTCTTGTTCATGAGCCCTGAAGTACCTCATTTACTTTTTATCTACAACTAAATATTTCATTTATATTTTAACTAAAACTAGGTATGATCTATTAGGAGGAGAAATCTATTCCCTGTGCACAACAACATCCCAAATCTAGAACTCTCTCTTCTGGTTTTATAGACTAGCGGACTCCATATGTGATGGACCACCTATAGGAGTTGACAAGACTGTGAACAAAGGTTCAGCACACATTTCCATTCCCGAAGGAGCTTATTCTTTAGATGAACTCACCCATCTGGACATCACCTAGCACTATTTTCATCAGCCCACATTTTTTTTTTTAAACAAATGTTCACTGAACAATTACTATGTGCCAGGCAGATGAGTTTTCAAATACCGGAATAAATATTTATTCTAACAAATAAGCGCCAACTCACACAGCTGCCAAACACAGCTCGAAGCACTTCACTTAACCCTCACAAGCAACTGTATGGACGTAGAAATAGCGTTCTGTAGGACGGGTTGTGAGCACTGGGCACTGACATGGACACACCCAGCCTTCCCAGTTCTCATGAGCAGTCTGGTCGCTAATGGAGCAGATGAGGAAAGGAAGTCACCAACCCAGCAGTACAGCTGTGGTCATGTGGCAGAGGGAAAAACCCAACACTCGGGCTCAGCACACTGAACCACACTGAGCTGATATTAATAAAAGTGCAGCGTGATACATGGCATGCTAAAAACGGAGCCTGAAGAAAACCACTCAGGACACCTGCAAAGTGCAAGTTAAAGCACTCTTTCTAAGCTTTGTCCTGATGATGACCAGCCAAACTCTACATTTACTTTTTGAAAGAAGACCTTTTTCTGTACAATTATCTTCTCAATAGAGCTCTTACATAACCAAGTAATACAAAAGGAAGATAAGAAAGTGGTGGCATAAACTATTTATTGCTAAAATTTAGTATTTGAATGTTCACATATAAGGTAAACTCACAAACTGCTAAAATGAAAGGAAAGAAGAATACATTGATGTTGTTGTTAAGTGCCTTCGAATCGGTTCCAACCCATAGAGAAAAGCTGCAGAGAACAACATTGATCTTTAATATCGGTGTTATTCATACCCATGGATGACAGGGAAGACCCCAAAGTACACAATCTCTGCCTTGAACCACAAAAGCTGTGTCTCTGTGCGAAAAAGGCACAGCCCTTGTCCACACCAACCTTCTCTGCAGGCAAGCCCCGAAGGAGCATGGCACAGCCAATACTGTCAGGAAGACCCCGCAGCCTCTAACATGGCCCAGGCCTGTGGAGAGTTCTTCCATGCAGACCTCACAGCAGTTAGCTACCTTGATCTAACAGGATGGGGCCTCCTCAGGAGCTCGGATGAAGCATGTCAGGTGATCCACATTCCAGGTCCTGGGAGCCTTTTATACGGCATTTTGGGTGCAATTATTTAGTGATAAACCTGATTTCCACGCGTTATACAGAAAGTTTGTCATTAGTTTATGTTCAGATTTTATACGCTACCAATTATATTATAAATAAGACATTAGGATAAATGTTTCTCTACTATTCAAGGCACCAGGAATTGATGGAATAAAAATTGAAATCTTTCAAGAAAGTGAGGCAGCACAGGAGCCACTCACTCATCTCTGCCAAGAAATTTGGAAGACAACTATCTGGCCAACTGATTGGAAGAGATCTGTATTTGTGCCCATTCCAAAGAGAGGTGACCCAATGGAATGCGAAATCATCAGACAATCTCGTTGATATCTCAAGAGAGTAAAGTTTTGTTAAAGGTAATACAGAAAATGGCTACAATCATACACTGACAGCAAACTTCCAGAGGTTCAAGCCAGATTCAGAAGAGGCCGTGGAACAAGAGATCATTGCTGATGTCTGATGGCTCTTGGCTAAAAGCAGAGAATATCAGAAAGATGTTTACCAGTGCTTTACTGACTATGCAAAGCCTATCGATTGTGTGGATCATGACAAGCTATGGACAACATTAAGAAGTATGAGTATTCCAGAACACTTAGTTGTGCTCATGAGGAATCTGTACCTGGACCAAGAAGCAGTTGTTCAAACAGAGCATGTGAACACTGAATGTTTTAAAATTAAGAAAGGTGTGTGACAAGGTTATATTCTTTCACCATATTTATTCAACCTGTATGTTGAGCAAATAATCTGAGAAGCTGGGTTCTATGAAGAAAAACGTGGCATCAGGATTGGAGGAAGACTCATTAATAACCTGCGATATGCAGATGATACAACCTTGCTTGCTGAAAGTGAAGAAGACTTAAAATATTTACTGATGAAGATCAAAGGGCCTTCGATATGGATTACATCTCAATGTAAAGAAAACAAAAATCCTCACCACTGGACCAATAAACAACATTCTTATCAATGGAGAAAAGATTGAAGCTGTCAAGGACTTCATTTTTCTTGGATCAACTATCAACACTCACGGAAGCAGCAGTCAAGAGATCAGACGACGTATTGCATTAGGCAAATCTGCTGCACATGACCTTTTGAAAGTGTTGAAGAGCAAAGATGTCAGCTTGAGGACTAAGGTGCGCCTGACCAGAGTCATGGTATTTTCAATAACCTCATATGGATGCAAAAGCTGGACAGTGAGTAAGGAAGATCGTAGAAGAATTGATGCCTTTGAGTTGTGGTGTTGCAGGAGAATACTAAAAGTGCCATGGGCTGCCAAAAGAACCAATAGATCTGTTTTGGAAGAAGTGCAGCCAGAGTGCTCCTTAGAGGCCAAGATGTCCAAACTTCATCTCTCATACTTTGGACATATTGTCAGGAGGGAACAGTAGCTGGAGAAGGATATCATGCTTGGTAAGATGGAGGGTCAGAAAAAAAGAGGAAGACCCCCAACGAGATGGATTGGCCAGGTGGCAACATAGATGGACTCAAGTGTGGCAAGAGTAGTGAGGTTGGCCCAGGATCGGACATTGTTTTCTTCTGCTGTGCATAGGGTGGCTATGAGTCAGTGCCAACTCAATGGCACCTAACAGCAACAACAACAGGATAAATGTGCAACTCGTGAAAATTTAGTTTCATAAAAAATTTCTGCAAGCTGATTTTAACACGACTAGATTTGGTGACCCTTCTTTCTCAGTAGGAAAATCTGTAATTATATGGATTATTTTGGACCCATGTGCAAATTGCTACCACTTTATTCCTCTTTTGTAATTTGTTCACTGTGCAAGTTCAACCATGATTTGGCCTGCGTAGCAACATATACATTCTTGTTTTTTCTTTTATTGATCTAAAATTCATCCTTATAACCACATTTTGGTTTGGATGCTGACTATTTTTACAGGTGTAAACTGAGTCACAAAATAGTTAACTTGCTCAAGATCAACACTATTAAATTAGGGCTTTATGATGTTGTTAAGTGCTGTTGAGTAAGTTCCAACTCATACTGGTCCTGTATAGGGTTCCCAAGGAGCGGCTGGTGAGTTTGAACCACCGACCTTGTGGTTCAAAACGACCTTGTGGCCCAGTGCTTTACCCCACACTGCCACACCAGGACTCCTAGGACTTTTTAAGTGCTCTTAATTGATCTTAGAATATTTGACAACAATTGGCCTTGAAAGCTTTCAAAAATCACTTCAAAGTAAAAATAAATGTTTTAATGCTAAAATTTTACAAGAACTTTGTTCCATCGAAACCAAATTTCTATACGTACCTCACTGAAAAGGCTTCCATTAGCATATGAGATCCAGAGCTTCCAGAAATTGGGCAACTGGCTCAAAACAAGCTTGGTCAGTTTTTCAACAAACGCCACCCGGTGGGGAGTTTTATATCTCCATGCTAAGAGGAAAGAATAAAAGCCTATGAGTATAGTTTTGAATCAAAAATAAAGAGAGGTGTGTGAGCAGACCGCTGGATCCACCGTCTAAAATTAAAATACACACTAAAATGAGTCAAAATGTATGTGGGAACAAGTGGTTTACCACTTTAGGTACATGGTTTTACTTTACTGATACAAAAACTTGTTTCTTTTTCACACCGTATTACTGATGTCTTCTGGAACTCAGGCCTGGCCTTTTGTTTTCCCTTCTGGTGAGGAAATACTTTATCTAAGCACCAAGGCAGAGAGGACAGGCAGGAAGAGCATCAGAAATAAGGAGGACTTCTCAAAGGAGGAAGCATTTCAGCTGGGTGTCTTGAGGAATCATGGTTCTCTTCAGAAAGCTATGTCTTCAAAGAGCAAAATAAGGCAAAGGCAGAGGCTGTCACACAGCCAGTACCTAAACCTGAGACTGCTATCAACCAGTTAGAAGATCTGCTAACCAGAAGATCAGCTGCTCAAGCCTACCAGCTACACCCCAGGAGAAAGATGACAGACTTGGGAATCTTACCGGGCAGTTCTACTCTGTCCTATAGGGTGACCATGAGTAAAAATCGACTTAAAAGCAGTGGGTTTGGGCTATAGACCCCATTACACATACTAGCAATTTCAGTAAGAACGCAAGCTGTCATAAAGGGATATATTCAAGTACAATCATGTCATGAAGATTTCCTCCCATTGCAAAGAAACTTATGGAAAAAAGAAAAGCACTGACACCTCTTGGGTTACGCATCACTTAACAGTTACTGTAGTAACTGGGAAATGTGGAATTACAGATTTTATATGTGAAGAGTAAGTTCTTGGGAATTAAAACAAACATACAAATTTGGTGACCATTCACCATTTTCCAATCTCGCTCCTCTTTCTTTGTCCACAGTCATTGTTGTCTCCTGTTTCCTCTCTATTTGAACCCTCACTTCCCTTTACTTCCTTCCACATTGTTTCCGGTTCCCCTGCTGTTGTGCTTTGGAGCCAAGAATAAGAACACAGAAGAATTGTCCCCACTGGAGCTCAGCTGGACCACTGAGCCCATGGCACCACAATAAGGGCTGTCTGATGTTCAGCGACTTCAAAGACAGGTCAGCCACAGGTTAGGGAAATGTCAGGTGAAGGGAGGGAGACTTTCACTAACTCCTTCATCTTAACCACCAACTTCCCTAGGGAAAGGTTTGAGCAATGGTTTTATGTCAGTGGAAAATGAGTGGACTTTATTTTTACATGTTTAATACTATTCGGAATAGATCACTGTGATCCTGTACAGGGTTTCTGAGAAGTTTCAACCACAGAGCTTGCAGTTAGCAGTCCAGTGCTTACCCTACAGGGCCACACCAGGCCCCCTCTGAGTAGATAAAACACAGTTAAAAAATTAAATATGTATTTATCCCATCTACATTTTTAAAATTCCAGACCCCAACTAGACAAAACCACTGTCAACAGTTTTGTTTTGTTTTTTTGTAATTTTAAAGTCTTTTATGCTTGAACTCAAACAAAAGCGCCAAAACCCATTGCATTTGAGTCAGTTCTGACTTATGGCAGATGTGTTGTCCCCTTTCAAATGACATATTCACACACACACACACACACACACACACACACACACACAAATACCCTTCGGGTTAACATGCTGGACCACAAGGGTCAGTTTCAACTGAAAGGTCGGTGGTTCAAGCTCATCAGCCACTCCTCAGAAACACTACACAGGGTCGCTATGTGTTGGAACCCTCTTGATGGCACTTAAGAAAAACAACTATATACAGATATGTATATACATATATATGGAGTCCTGGTGTGGCACTATGGGTTAATGCGCCAGAATGCAAAGTCGTTTGAACTGCAAGGTCAGTGGTTCAAGCTCACCAGCTGCTCCTCAGAAACCCTATACAGAGTTACAGGGTTGCTAAGGGTCAGAACCGACTCAACGGCACTCAACAATACATACATACATATATATATATATATATATATATATATATTATATAATACACACACACACACACACACACACACACACATATATATATATATGTACACTCATGGTTTTTTGATTTTTTTTTTCTCCTTCACAGAAATGCACTTTAAAAACACTCTTTGACCCTTTGACCTTTGGCTTTTTTCATTAACAATGCATCCTCCTCCCTCAAGTTCTTCCACAGTCTCCCTTTCCTCTCCACACTCAGAGACATCATTTCATAGTTTAGATGAAGCCTAATAAAGACTGTCCCTAATTGTCCGCAATTAGAACTTGGACTTCAGTGAGGAACTCTGTACATCGCTGAGCATGAGTGCAAGAGCAAGTGTAGGATAAATTCCCAGAACAAGAATTGCTGGGTCCAAGAGCCTTTGCAGTTGTACCTTTGACTGCTATTGTTAAGGGCCTTCAAGTCAGATCCAACTCATAGGGACCCTGGTATATGGTGTCCAAGGAGCAGCTGGCAGGTTTGAACCGATGACCTTGCAGTTAGCAGTTCAGTGCTTATCTTACAAATTGTCACCCATCAGGGTTATTTATACTCCTATCAGCAAAATGAGGAGTCCTGGTGTGGCACTATGGGATAAATGCACTGGACTGGCTGGTTTGAACCGCAAGGTCGGAGATTCAAACTCACCGGATACTCCTTGGAAAGCCTACACAGAGTCGCTGTAAGTCGGAACTGACTTGATGGCACTTCACAACAACAACCAGCAACATGTGGAAGTATTTTTACCTTATACCCTCAACAATGGAGCTCTGGTAGTGTAGTGGTTACGAATCAGGCTGCAAACCGAAAGGTCAGCAGTTCGAAACTACCAGCTGCTCCGCAGGAGAAAGATGAGGCTTTCTGCTCCTGCAAAGATTTATAGTCTCGGAAACCCTGTTCATGGTCGCTATAAGTCGGAATCGACTTGATAACAACAACAACCCTCATCAATGAATGAATCAAACATACACTCAAACACATGCCTCCACAAAATAGTCACTGTTTAACCTTTTGCCAATCTGAAAACTCAAGAAGTGCTACGTGTTTTGCTGTTGCTCTTCTTGAACCAGCTGAATGTCTGTTCATATGTCTCAGAGTCATTTGTTGTTGATCTGAGTTGTTGTGAGGTGCCATCAAGAGGGTTCTGACTCACAGTGCTCTTTATAGGCCACAAAAAGGAAGCGTAATTGGAAGTGAGCTTGATGGCGGAGAGGGTACAGATGCAGTGAAGTTCGGTGTCAGAAATACCACAGAATACCAGGTAAAGCAGGTTCAGAGCAGAGATCCAAAACTCTGAACCACATAGGTAGGAATATTTTAAAAGTTTGAAAGCTAGCGAAACTTGTAGCAGAAGTAAAAAATCTCACAATTTTGAATCTGCCCAGCTCGGCAACCCGGAATCAACAACTTGGGTGAGACCAATCAGCAAGACCAAGTAGGGGAGCAGACCCAGCAAGGAATAAAACCATGGGAATCTCAGAGCAAAGTGGACTATACACTTTGTCAGTTTTGCTTTCTTCTGATTTTCTTTTTTTTTTTTTTTTTTTTTTTTTTTTTTTTTTTTGTATCTATTAATTGGCCCTCCATTCTGGTGACTAGAGGGGGTGCCTGAGCAAGTGGACACCCCCCACCCCAACTACTGGTGGGTTCTTCTGCCACACGTGTGCACAGATACTCTCAGCTCAAGAGCCGGCCCTGAACTTGTTTTTAATAGGGAAAAGGCCAGAACAAAGGGTGTGGAGAGGGAAAGAGAGTTTAAAAACAAAACAAGCTGAAAACTACATTACATCCTGAGGTATAGCATAACAACCAACAGTGAGTGGCATCTTGAAATTTATCAGGCGGCTTTGAAGGCAAGAAGCTGAAAGAGGACATTAAAGTTATACCCATATTAGGCTACAGATTTTGTTTCCTTCCTTCTCTCCCTCCTCTACCCTTTCTGTGATTAGAGACTACAGTATCCAATCGAGGTATTTTTGGTGGTGGTGGTGTTTTCTTTTCTCTTTTCTTTCTTTCTTTTTTTTTTACTGTTGCTGTTTTATGCTCCCCATTTTACCTTGGGGGATTTTCTCTCCCTATGTTACCCAAGAAGAGACAGCAACTGCTGCCATATAGTCAAGCTACAGTCATACTCTATAAAATACCAAAATCCAGACAAGAACCAATACCAACTGCTATACACCAGGGAAGGAGACAACTCCTGTGAAAGTTACTTAGTCAAGCAATATGTGTGAAAAGGGAAGCCCATCTCCTGATCACATCTACCTGGAGGCAATCAAAAAGCATAAAAAATACCAAAACACATATTCAATTAAGTACTAAGGCAACAGATAAACACTAAACATGTCCAAGAAGCAAACACAGATGACCATATCAGCACATGTCCAGAAACAAGATAAATGTCTGAGACAAATGACCTAAAGGTAGACTTGGACTACATCCTGGAAGGAAGGCGGCAGGCCTTAGAAATGCAGGAGAAGGAATTCAGAAAAATAATTACAAAATGTTTCAAAAC